ATGCTCCTTAAGTTTTTCAGAGCATGTATTTATAATGTCAGTAATATGAGGTACTTGAATAATGACTGGGTAACACTTTAATGCCAGTAAGAATAAAATACCTTTGTCACATAAGTTTATTATATAAGTAAAAATTAAAGGAATTTAACCTTTAATTATTGTACATGAAAATCTTCAAGTCATGTAACTTTTATTAAAATTGTGGAGTTCCAAAGTGATCATAACAAAATCAGGAGCAAGATGAGGCTGCCCACTCTCTCAATGTCAAAACAACATAGTACTCGAAATTTTAGCTAGAGCAATAGGACAACAAAAGGAGATAAAAGGGACACAAATTGGAAGAGAAGAAGTCAAACTTCCACTCTTTGTATACTATATGATAGTATACATAAGTGACTCCAAACATTCTACCAGGGCACTACTATAGCTAACAAACACTGTCAGTTATGTGGCAAGATACAAGATTAACTCAAAAAAATTAGTAGCCTTCCTATATACACATAATAAATAGGTTGAGAAAGATATCAGAGAAATATCATCTTTTGCAATAGCCACAAATAACATAAAATATCTTGAGGTACTCTAACAAAACAAATGAAAGACCTATATGACAAGAAATTTAAGTCTTTTAAGGAAAAAAAATGAAGAGGATATCAAAAAATGGAAATATCTCCCATGCTCTTGGATAGGTAGGATCAACATAGCAAAGATACCACCCTTATCAAAACTAATCTACAGAGTCAATGCAATGCCCATCAAAATCCCAATGCAGTTCCTCACAGACCTCAAAACAATACTCATCTTCATATGGAAAAATAAAAAACCCAGGATAATCAAAACAATCCTGTACAATAAAGGAAATTCTGGAGGCATTACCATCTCTGTCTACAAGCTCTACTATAGAAATATAGTAATAAAACAGCTTGGTGTTGGCATAAAAACAGATATAGGATCAATGGAATCATAATGAAGACCCTGATATTTATTCACATATGAATACCTGATTTTGACAAATAGCCCAAAAGTGCACAATGGAAAAAAGAAAACATCTTAAACAAATGGTGCTGGCATAACTGGATGTCAACATGTAGAAAAGTAAATTGATTAATATTTATTACCATGCATAAAACTCAAGTCCATATGGATCAACGACTTCAACATAAATCCAGTCACACTGAACTTGACAGAAGAGAAAGTGGAAAATAGTCTTGAATACATGGGCACAGGAGACTACTTCCTAAATATGACACCAGTAGCACAGACACTGAAAGCAACCATTAATAAACAGGATGTCCTGAAACTGAAAAACTTTTGTAAAGCAAAGGGCAAGGTCAATAAGACAAAATGGCAACCTACAGAAGAGGAAAAGATATTTACCAACCCCACATGACAGAGGGATGAACTCCAAAATACATAAAGAACTCAAGAGACTAGACATCAAAATACCAAATAAACCAATTTTTAAAATTGAGTACAGATCTAAACAGAGAATTCTCAACATAAGAATATCAAATGGCTGAAAGACATTTAAGGAATTGCTCAACATCCTTAACCATCAGAGAATTGCAAATAAAAATGAGTCTGACATACCATCTTAAACCTATTTAGAATGACTAAGATCATATACTGATGACAGCTTATGCTAGAGAGTATGTGAAGTAAGATGAACATTCCTCCATTGCTAGTGGAAGTACAAACTTGTATAGTCACTTTGGAAAACAGTATGGTGGTTTCTACAAAAAATTGGTAATCAATCCACCTCAAGATCCAGCAATGACACCCTTGGGCATCTACTCAAAGGATGTACAATCATACAACAAAGACATTTGATCAACTATATTTATAACAGTACTATTTATAGTAGGCAGAACCTGGAAATAATCTAGATGCCCCTCAACCAACAAATGGATAAAGAAAATGTGGTACATTTACATAATGGAATATTACTCAGCAGTGAAAAAAATGACATCTTGAAATTTGCAGGCAAATGTATGGTACTAGATCAAACCATTCTGAGTGAGGTGTGAGGCAACCCAGATCCAGAGAGACAAGCATGATGTGTACTCACTCAAAAGTGGATATTTGACATAAAATAAAGGATAACCAAGCTATAAGCCACAACCCCAGAGAAGCTAGGTAAAAAAGGAGGACCCTAAGAAGAACACATTTGGAGGGCCTAATAAAGGGGAAATAGTTAAAATTTTCTGGAAAATCTGGAATGGGGAAAGGTTAAAAGGGAAGGCATGTGAACATAAGGGATCAAGTAGGCTGAGCTGGGCGAGAGACAGAAAGGGACAGCAGTGAAAGACCTATCTTGATAGAGGGAGCCATTATGGGGTAGAGAGAAACCTGGTGCTAGGGAAATTCCCAGGAACCCACAAGGATGACCCCAGCTAAGATTCCTAGCTATAGTGGAGGCGGTACCTGAACAAGCCTTCCTTTATAATCAGATTACTAACTACCCAAATTGTCATCACAAAACCTACATCCAGTGACTAATGGAAGTAGATGCAGTGACCAACAGCCAAACACTGGACTGAACTCCTGGAGTTTAGTTGAAGAGAAGGAGGAGGGATTATCTGAGCAAGGGAGATCAAGATCGTCATGAGGAATATCACAGAGTCAGTTGACCCAAGCTAGTGGGAGCTCACCAACTCTGGAATGACAGCTGGGGAATCTTCATGGGACCGACCTAAGCCTTCTGAATGTGGATGACGATTATGCAGCTTGATCGGTACCAGGATTTATCCCGGCTGCGTGAACTACCTTTTTGGAGCCCATTCCCAATGATGGAATATCTTGCTCAGCCTTACATGGGGTCGGGGTGGTGGGGTTTGTTCCTTCCTCAACTTGGTATGCTAGACTTCCCAAGTGAAGCTCTACACCCTCAGAGGAGTGGATGGGGAACAAGAAGTGGGAAGGTGGGGGTGAGAGGGAGAAGAGGAAGGATGAGGAAGTAGGGTTGGTATGCAAAAAAAAAAAAAATGTAGAATTCAGTTGCCTTGCTTCCATCTGGCTAGCAATGCCTTCAAGAAAGCAGGATCATGTGACAATAAGACTGGTTGAACATCAAAGCATTTGCAATGCTAGTCAAGACCACATAAGATAGAATGAACCAAATTTCCTTCTAACTTGTCCGCATAGTTCATTCTCCAGATTTTCTGCTCTCTTTGCTTTTGTTAAATATCTTAGACGCATACACACCTAAGGCTTGTCTTTGTTACTCCCCTCTGTGGAATTTTCCAAATAAGCCTCAACCTCTAGCTCCTTTATCTACTAACAGCAATATATAGTAGATTTGTTTAACCTCCTAAGTCTCATTCTCAACATATAAAAAGAAAAAAAAATACTTTCTCTAAAGCATTGTAAGTATTAAATGAAACACACATAATGCCCTGAGAACAGCATGGGGCAGGAGGGAACAAACATAAGTGGGATTTGTGCTAAAATCCCCAGCAGATGTTTTGAATAACCTGATTACCACTTCATGGAGCACAACTTGAAGGTGCATTTGTGAACCACTTCATTATATTTTTAAACACTCCAAAATATGCATGATTTCATGCTTAGCAGTAGAAACAACTCTTAGTATAAATTACAGTTGTTTGCAGAGTTCTTCCTCCTGAACTACTGGAATATTTTTAACAAATTCATACACAGTCAACCCTCTGTTCACTAATGCTTGATGTGAACACATAATTACTGAGCTTTCATGCTTAGAATGAGGACTTTGCAGTACTGGAAGACACTAAGGGCTTAATCACTGAGATTCACAACGCTATTGTCATTCGCATAGGTTTAGAAGTAAGTATATTTCTGAGTGTCACTAATCATTGGATGGTGACAAGGACACAGAGGTAAACAGAACTGGATGCTTTGAGGTTATTTACTGGCTCTACAACTTCCCAACTGCATCTGTGGGGAAGCAAGCTGCTTATCCATCCTCAGACTTCCTTTTTCAGCTCGGAAATAGGAGACCATGTTTACTAAATTTACTTTTCAGAGTTCAGCATAAAATCAGTAATCAGAGGCTGGCAAAGAAGAGCTAGGAATAGGTTGGTCTGTGGGTACAAGTTATTCAAGCTCTGGTGGATAAGAAAAATATGTATGATGACTCTTGATAATTATAGTCACTGTCCAGTTTTTTAAGCTACAATATTTGGAATGTTTTCATCACAAAGAAGCATTAATTTTTAAAGAAGATACATGTTTATCTTTCTCTGAACTGCTCAAAATGTATATATGTTTAAATAAATAAATAAATAGCTGAACAATACTTTAAATATTCCTTACAGAGCTCTAAATGAAAAAAATGAAATAGCGTACAGTTAAACATATTTAAAAATTCTATGTTCAGTCAACATGCCTCAGTTTATCACGTACTGTGGTGCTAGCACTAAATATTTTCATTCATGTATATTTATTACCATCCTTGTATGATAAAACTCAATCTTGAGGAAAATCATATAACATGCTATTTAGAAAAATATTAAAACTTCAACACATCAGCAATGTTATCGAAACCTCTGATAAGATCACGCCTGTCACTACACAGATATATCAGATTCTACAAGATTTATTTATTTCAGTAAATATTGTGAAATAGTAACACTCATTTGTCAATAAATAAAATAATATCTTGTGTCTAGAGCTTTCACAAAATTAATTGTGCCCACAATAGTGGAATAACATAGCATAGTTTTCTGTGGTTCATAGTGAGACTGTGATATGAATAAAGGTACTAATACAATTTATTATTATTATTGGTGAAATAGTAGAAAAGCTCATTTTCAAATATCCTGTTCATGAAGCACTGTTGAGAATTTAGAAAGCTTATGAGCTCTCTAAAATTCTGCCCATGTCTTCTATGCAGAATATTAACATGATAAGATTGAAGAAATTCTAGCAAGGCTGACATTAAGCAGTTGAAATGTGCCTCATAACTCATTGAATGTGGGTGGGAACAGACATCAACTTTTAAAACAAAAAAGCAAAGGTACCCTTTTCCGAGTCTTCTCCTTCAGGAAAGGCCGGATCACAGTGTACAGGGCATGGATATACCAAGGTTGGTTGACGAAATGAATTCCTCCAAATCTTGCGGGGAAGCTGTCCTGGAGCAACATAAAGGTAGAGAAATCAATACAGACTCATCTACACTGAAATAGCCCAGGAAATATTGCATGTTGCTTCATTGTGTGAATACTTTACGTTAAAGAAAAAGGAGCAAGCATTGTTACAGAGAGAATCTCTGAAGAAAGTCCAACAGTATGTAATCAAGTGAATCCTTCTCAAGAACAGGTTAGTGAAAGGAACTTCAACATCTTTCAGACTGATATTTAAGTCTGCTTACTTCTAACAGTTGACACCATAACAGAAGCACAATAAACAGACAGATTAGAAAAAAGTGTCAAATACCAGATTCAGGTAGAATAGTTGTTTTATTTGAATTATTTATATAGATAATAAGATATATTTAAGTTCAAGTATTTTATTCACTTTAGTAACCATTTGTAATGGGAGTGATACCTTATATAAAAATGCAAAAAATGATGCTTGCTGCCAAGTCTCAAGATCTAAGTTCAATCCCTGGGATCCATATGGTGGAAGCAGAAAATCTGCAGGTTGTCCTCTGACCTCCAAATGTGCACTCTGGTGAATACACCTACCCCTGACCACACAATAAATAAATAAATCAAAAAGAGACTCAGTGGATGTGATTAAGGACATTTGATAGCCTGAGTTCAAACCTGGGGTCTACATCATAGGAAGGAAGGAGGGAAGGAAGGAAGGAAGATGTTCTCTGACCTCCACACATAACTTGTGCTCCTCTGCATGCCAAAATTTAAAAATTAAATTAAAATATAAACTAAGATACATTAAAACATACCTTATTCTCTTCGCATCATTTCTAGGCTTTATTATAAATATCTGCCTTTCCTTACTTCAACGAGTAAAATGGAATCATGCTTAAGTAAGACGAAAACCCACAGTTGTGGCACAGGAAACTTCAGGATACATTCAGTGGGTTAAATGAGCACCAAGAATGCTCCGAGTTCACTCCAGTGGAGAAAGGAGGAACTCAGTTACAACCTACTTCCTCGTCACCAAAACATACCTGGGTAAGTTCAAGACCAGAGTGATGAAGCAAGTCTGCTCTGCCTATCTGTGGGTAGGGATATGCTTCTATGACTCAGTTCCTAGCATAATGCGATAGCCAAACCACACGACTCACAACCTTGACACCTGGTTGAATATGCTGAGGACTCTCCTCCAAAAGCTCTGACACTTCTCTCTTCCAGTTTGTCAAAGCCACAAGAACGAGCGTCATTGGCCCTCATAAACACACAAAATCTAAGGAGTTAGTTAAACTCCTCTAACTAAGCTTGCCTTTCAAGTAGCACCATAAGCAATTGGAATATTCTTCTGCAGAACATGAATAGGAACGAATAAAAGATAAGGGTCATAGGGAAGATAAATCTAATGTATTATTTTATTTACATGTGCTTTTGAATAAGATTTTCTGATCCAAAGCATGTGCCATTGTAAGAAAAGGGCTGTTCTTAATTGGGATACTTTATAAGTATGTAAACTTGAGTATGTATGAGTGTGTGTGTGTGTGTGTGTGTGTGTGTGTGTGTGTGTGTGTTTGGCGTGTGTGCATATACAATTGTATATATATATGTGTGTGTGTATGTATGTATATGTATATTCACATAGCATCGTTTCTGACATTCAGCACATTTGTGGGTGGCTACACATGCTTAGTGTCACTGTAATCCAATGTAACCCATGAATACTATGACTATAGTATGGTATATGGTAATTAAATTATCTTCTCTCATTCATGCATGTCATTTTTCAGATCTTTTGTATGTTTGCCCTGGCCCACACTGCAGCACTCAAGACATCTTTCACGTGCACATTCAAGGGTGTAGTAACACATTTTTCTCAGCATTGCTGCTTCCCAGAGCAAATGCTACTCAAGTTTACAAAACCAACAAGAGTGACTGAATCAATTTACACTCCTCCGTCCCCTTGTACTGCATGCCAATTCCATTTAGTTTGCATAGCTGGTATATTACCACCTTCAAATTTTATGAATCTACTAGAAATAAAATGAATTTTCACACAAACTTTACTTGCTAGATTCTTGGTCTCTGTACATATTTGTTATTTTCATCATTAGTAATAAAAGTTGTGAGCACAAAATTACATTTTGTGTTCTTGAGAGTGTGAATTGTATGCTCTCTACGGATTTTTCTATGGCATCCTGTTTATGATTAACTCAACCTTGGCTAACAGTAATTATCAAGCATATAGAAGAAACTGATTTCTCTACACAAATTCTGCTTAAGTTTTCACCAGGTATGTTAGTCAACTCATATGACTTCAAGTAGATTACCTATGCTGAGATTTCCCTGACTCCAGCATATATTCAGATTTCAGACACTCTTGAAATAATTATGATCCTGGGCAAATGAGAAGGCTATTAATATCGTCATTACGACTACTGATATGGTTACTTTTCAGCAAGATAAAGAAATGGCAGAGAAATTTTCTTGATGCTTTCCTGACCAGCTGAAGCTTTATTTCAAGAAACAGCATCACATCCAGTCCCCCACTTGCCTTCAGCATGTACAAGCACACCCATGCCTGAGTGTCCATGATCCCCTACAGCTCTGGGTTCTTGGGTTGGCCTTTTACTCCAGAACTGCCTGGACCTCAGCTACTCTCAGGATTGTTATTGTAGAGTATTGTCTGTGTTTGTCTTCCATTCCTCAGAGTTCAACAATGCAAGGAGAATTATTTAGGCTCTAATAAATTCACCACTCTTCTCCTTCGTGACAGAAAGATGTTTTAAGGATTGGAAACAGGCTGCACTGTCTGGAATAGAACTATTTACTCTATGTTTGAAATATAAGGTGCTGACATCTACAACCAAGCTGAATGAGCGTCAGTCATAAGGATGTGACTCTACAAGTTTCGAATCAGGATGATTAAATTTTGACATTTTCAGGGAGGTCACTGCCTTCTCTCTCCTGAAAAACAAAAAACACTTGCATACACAGATCTTTTTAAATATACAACTGGATCGTACCGAATTACAGTTAAGTCGAAGAGAAATAACAGGAAGAGTCTCCACTTTCCAATTACGTTTATCTAGCTCAGAGTTCTGACTCAAATCACGTGTAGAAGTCCACGGCATGATTATGGATTCCTTCTTCTCCTTCACTCTGATCTTCCTCTAAGCATCCACGAAGTGCTATAGTATTAACATCCCTGACCTCCAAGATTCTTGAAGTTTCATGTGCCCAAGCAGTGCAAGGTAAATCTGATGTTTCCAAACCCCAAAATCGGTACATTACTTTCCTTCACATTTTTCCCTGTGGTGACTATCTGAGTCATTACTGTGGACTGTTGTCTCCCTATGCCAGCATGGCTTCCTCAACCCCCTGACATATTTTCTACTCTTACTAAGCTCTTGTGCTTAACTCAGTCAACATCATTGACACAATGCTCATTTTGGTTCCTTTTCTCATTTCTCATCGGAGTGCTCATTCACAAAAGCCTTCTCTCTGCTACCTGTAACATGAAAAGGCTGGGCCTGCTTGTTTGTGTTTTTGTACTGCCCAGCCCTCCAGCTGTTTAGTCCCAGAGAAAATCACATACAGGACTCAGTAAGTTATAAAGCTGATTGGCCCATTATGTCAGGCTTCTTACTGGCTAACTCTCACATCTTGATTAACCCATTTTTTTTGATCTATGTTAGCCATGTGGCTCAGTACCTTTTTCAGTGGGGCAGCTCACATCCTGCTGCTTCGGTGATCTGGGCAGGAGTGAGAGGAGTCAACTTCCTCCTCCCCAGAATTCTCTTGCTCTCCTTACATCTTTCTACTTCCTGTCTGGTTTTCCCGCCTATACCTCCTGTCTGGCCAATCAGCATTTATTTAAAACATGATTTACAGAATACAGACAATTCTCCCGCACCAGCTACCAGCAACACCAAAATCCATCCCTGCACTCATTTCATACCTTCTACCTGTCTTTATATGTGTACATGTGCATGATTCTGTGTACATGTGTGTAAGTGTTTATGGATATGTGTGCATGTACACCTAGAATGGATAAGAAAAATGTGGTGCATTTGCACAATGTAGTACTACACAGCAGAGAAAAATAACAACATCTTGAATTTTGCAATAAAATATATGGAGCTAGAAAACATAATTATGAGTGAGGTAACCCAGACACAGAAAGACAATTATCACATTACTCACTCATAAGTGGTTTTTAAACATAAAAATCCAGCCCTCAAATCACAATCCCAGAGAACCTAGACAACAATGAGGACCCTAAGAGCGACATACATGGATCTGATCTACATTGAAAGTGGTAAAAGACAAGATCTCCTGAGTAATTTGGGAGCATAGGGACTATGGGAGAAGGTAGAAGGAAAGCGGAGAGGCAGGGAGGGGAGCCGAGAAAAAATGTATAGCACAATAAAATCAATTAAAAAAGAAACCCTAATCAACCTCAGATGTAGTTCTTCCTCTGTCGTTTTTGACATCTAATCATTTTGTAAACTCTTACTGGGACCTGGGTCTTGTCAGTTAGGTTAATCTGATTAGTCAGTAAACCCAAGAAATCCTCCTGTCTCTCTCCTAGGACTGAGATTATAAGTGTGTGCCATTGCGTCTAAATTGTCACATGAGCAATGAGTGTGAAACTCACGTTTCCATAGGAAGGCAGCAAGCATTTTACTGACAGCCATCTTCCTAGGCCCTGATAATCATTTGTTGTCTGTCTTTGACAATGAATTGTGAACTCTTTGAGTAGACATTGTGAGTTCTAAACACACTACAAGGATCACACCCTACCCTAGAGACAGGGCATGGAAAGTCAAATATGGATCTTTAGTGGAATTAGGAATGAAAAATTTCTGCCAGTGAGATGAACTTCAAGTCTGAAGGACCAAAAGCAATAATAGGGACATTTCCGCTCTGGTGACAAGTATGGAACTAGCTCCCAGAGAGGACACTGTAGCAGTTAGGTTAGAGATCCCCTTTCTACTTTGTAGATGACATTTGGAAGACAAGAGGCCTGAAAGGCA